CTGTCTCTTATACACATCTAGATTCCGTAGTGGGTACAGTTGTCAAATCCTCTGTAAAATAATGAATTGATAAACTGGTGGAATATTTATATCATAAGCATCATTTTGTTCTTAAATACAAGTTTCCTGATGGCATGATTTTATCATAAACAACATGTTCTTTATAATACTAGTTTTCCAATAGTTAAACAAGCCTCACCTGATGGTGTGGTTGTGACTGTTGTCTTTTCCGTAGTGGGAACAGTTGTCAAATCCTCTGTAAAATTGTAAAATAATGAATCGATAAACTGGTGGAATATTAATATCATAAGCATCATTTTGTTCTTAAATACAAGTTTCCTGATGGCATAATTATATCATTAACAACATGTTCTTCATAATACAAGTTTTCCTATAGTTCAACAAGCCTCACCTGATTTTGTGGTTGTGACTGTTGTCTTGTCCGTAGTGGGAACAGTTGTCAAATCCTCTGTAAAATAATGAATCGAAAAACTGGTGGAATATTTATATCATAAGCATCATTTTGTTCTTAAATACAAGTTTCCTGATGGCATAATTATATATCATAAACAACATGTTCTTTATAATACTAGTTTTCCAATAGTTAAACAAGCCTCACCTGATGGTGTGGTTGTGACTGTTGTCTTGTCCGTAGTGGATACAGTTGTCAAATCCTCTGTAAAATAATGAATCGATAAACTGGTGGAATATTTATATCATAAGCATCATTTTGTTCTTAAATACAAGTTTCCTGATGGCATAATTATATCATAAACAACATTTTCTTCATAATACAAGTTTTCCAATAGTTAAACAAGCCTCACCTGATGGTGTGGTTGTGACTGTTGTCTTGTCCGTAGTGGGAACAGTTGTCAAATCCTCTGTAAAATAATGAATCGATAAACTGGTGAAATATTTATATGATAAGCATCATTTTGTTCTTAAATACAAGTTTCCTGATGGCATAATTATATCATTAACAACATGTTCTTCATAATACAAGTTTTCCAATAGTTCAACAAGCCTCACCTGATGGTGTGGTTGTGACTGTATGTGTATAAGAGACAGNNNTCCTCTGTAAAATAATGAATCGATAAACTGGTGGAATATTTATATCATAAGCATCATTTTGTTCTTAAATACAAGTTTCCTGATGGCATAATTATATCATTAACAACATGTTCTTCATAATACAAGTTTTTCAATAGTTAAACAAGCCTCACCTGATGGTGTGGTTGTGACTGTTGTCTTTTCCGTAGTGTATACAGTTGTCAAATCCTCTGTAAAATAATGAATCGATAAACTGGTGGAATATTTATATCATAAGCATCATTTTGTTCTTAAATACAAGTTTCCTGATGGCATAATTATATATCATAAACAACATGTTCTTTATAATACTTGTTTTTCAATAGTTAAACAAGCCTCACCTGATGGTGTGGTTGTGACTGTTGTCTTGTCCGTAGTGGGTACAGTTGTCAAATCCTCTGTAAAATAATGAATCGATAAACTGGTGGAATATTTATATCATAAGCATCATTTTGTTCTTAAATACAAGTTTCCTGATGGCATAATTATATCATAAACAACATGTTCTTTATAATACTAGTTTTCCAATAGTTAAACAAGCCTCACCTGATGGTGTGGTTGTGACTGTCGTCTTGTCCGTAGTGGGTACAGTTGTCAAATCCTCTGTAAAATAATCAATCGATAAACTGGTGGAGTATTTATATCATAAGCATCATTTTGTTCTTAAATACAAGTTTCCTGATGGCATAATTATATCATTAACAACATGTTCTTCATAATACAAGTTTTCCAATAGTTAAACAAGCCTCACCTGATGGTGTGGTTGTGACCGTTGTCTTGTCCGTAGTGGGTACAGTTGTCAAATCCTCTGTAAAATTGTAAAATAATGAATCGATAAACTGGTGGAATATTAATATCACAAGCATCATTTTGTTCTTAAATACAAGTTTCCTGATGGCATAATTATATCATTAACAACATGTTCTTCATAATACAAGTTTTCCAATAGTTCAACAAGCCTCACCTGATGGTGTGGTTGTGACTGTTGTCTTGTCTGTAGTGGGAACATTTGTCAAATCCTCTGTAAAATAATGAATCGATAAACTGGTGGAATATTTATATCATAAGCATCATTTTGTTCTTAAATACAAGTTTCCTGATGGCATAATTATATCATTAACAACATGTTCTTCATAATACAAGTTTTCCAATAGTTCAACAAGCCTCACCTGATGGTGTGGTTGTGACTGTTGTCTTGTCCGTAGTGGGTACAGTTGTCAAATCCTCTGTAAAATAATGAATCAATAAACTGGTGGAATATTTATATCATAAGCATCATTTTGTTCTTAAATACAAGTTTCCTGATGGCATAATTATATATCATAAACAACATGTTCTTTATAATACTAGTTTTCCAATAGTTAAACAAGCCTCACCTGATGGTGTGGTTGTGACTGTTGTCTTGTCCGTAGTGGGTACAGTTGTCAAATCCTCTGTAAAATAATGAATCAATAAAATGGTGGAATATTTATATCTTAAGCATCATTTTGTTCTTAAATACATGTTTCCTGATGGCATGATTATATCATAAACAACATGTTCTTTATAATACAAGTTTTCCAATAGTTAAACAAGCCTCACCTGATGGTGTGGTTGTGACTGTTGTTTTGTCCGTAGTGGGAACAGTTGTCAAATCCTCTGTAAAATTGTAAAATAATGAATCGATAAACTGGTGGAATATTAATATCATAAGCATCATTTTGTTCTTAAATACAAGTTTCCTGATGGCATAATTATATCATTAACAACATGTTCTTCATAATACAAGTTTTCCAATAGTTCAACAAGCCTCACCTGATGGCGTGGTTGTGACTGTTGTCTTGTCCGTAGTGGGTACAGTTGTCAAATCCTCTGTAAAATAATGAATTGATAAACTGGTGGAACATTTATATCATAAGCATCATTTTGTTCTTTAATTCAAGTTTCCTGATGGCATAATTATATCATAAACAACATGTTCTTTATAATACTAGTTTTCCAATAGTTCAACAAGCCTCACCTGATGGTGTGGTTGTAACTGTTGTCTTGTCCGTAGTGGGTACAGTTGTCAAATCCTCTGTGAAATTGTAAAATAATTAATTCATAAACTGGTGGAATATTTATATCATAAGCATCATTTTGTTCTTGAATACAAGTTTCCTGATGGCATGATTTTATCTTAAACAACATGTTCTTCATAATACAAGTTTTCCAATAGTTAAACAAGCCTCACCTGATGGTGTGGTTGTGACTGTTGTCTTGTCCGTAGTGGGTACAGTTGTCAAATCCTCTGTAAAATAATTGATTCAATATACAATAATAACAGAGGCACTTTATATGATTAATTAATTGTATCATAAAGTTAGTACTATATAATGTTTTATCTATTGCATATATGCAGCTTAATATAATGATTTATGTGGTTAATTTATGTAGATAAACTATTTAGCTAAGTTAATTCACGTTCAGAAAATGGCTACCCTGTATTTACAAATTGTGTTATACTTGTATGAAGTCTGAACAGGGAGAGTTTTTCCAGTTCTCCCTAATCATACCATCTTTTTTGTGTTGCTTAAATTTGTTGGTTTTATTGATTTTGATTGTTATAGTTTACTGAGGATGCTCCATTGACGTACCGCTGTTAAAAAAGCATTTTTTTTTTGTTTCCTGAATGGGGGAAATGAGTTTTCCCGAATTCTGAGGTGTCTTTAAATTACTTTTAAGTTCTTCAAAATGTTTTTTCCCTACTGAAAACGTTTCTATGAATCAATGAACCCCAAAAAGAAAGCGGTCCGGGTTACCCCCGGGAAAATTTCGGTTTCTAGATGGCAGGAAACGAGCTTTCCCAACTTCTGAAATGTTTGGCAGGACATGTCACGAGAAGTAATACAAGCTTGTACACAAATGCCCCCATTTTATGTGGATGCAGTTACTTTTCAGCTATTTGGTTGATTCTATATCTGTCACATTTCCACATAACTCATCATGGTTTAACTGTGTCTATTCTTATTCTTCAAATCAATGACCATCTGTCAGTGCTGGATTAAGCATCGTCTGGCCTCAAGGCACATTTTGGAAATGGCCCAGAAATGTTAATTGAATGGACCCCATGGTAATAATACTCTGCCACAACTCTAACAGTAGAATGTCTCCGAGTTTACAGCCTAATAATACTGGAAAATAGAGTGTAAATAATATTGCAGTCCAACTTTTTATGGCCCATCATTTTCGTCTGGCCCACAAGGCTTGTGCCTTATTTGCCTAATGGTTAATCCGGCACTGCCATCTGTGATAGTTTATAAAGCTTGGATGTGGTCTGCCGATGAACCGATATTTTAAATTTTAACTGCGGATTAGAATTAGAGAAAAATCTGATGGTGGAATGGGCTATGATGTTTATGAATGAAATGAAAGACATGGCATGAAATTGAAAAACTAAAAAGAGGACATAACTAAGACATAGGTATCGAAGTGGAGTTTCCAACAAGATATGGACAAAATAAGAGAAATTTGGGGAGATATGTATGTATATTATAAAATATACAGTATGTTATCAGAAAGTATAAAGATACTTTAAATAATTCAAGAAAGAAAACCATTGTACAATGCTTCATATAAAGTAAAAACAGATGGCTTGATGCAAAATGAATGAAACTTGGGAAGATATGTTGATCAAATCTTGAGTACCTAAACCAATGGCTAGTCTCAGTCTATATAGTGATTGTTACCACAGTGAGGACACTGTATTTTTGTACACCACTGTTTCATAATTTTTCTAATCATAAATGTATGTGGAATTATCTGAGATGTATTATAACTGAATTTTATCCTATTATATTAATAACATTATTACATTTTGATTTTTCATCATACATTAAAATGTGCATAGAAATGGTTGTTATGGTAATGACGTTTTGTTCTACACACCATTACATAAATTCCCAAACTGATTTTATATGGAAATTAAAAACCATATTGTGATGCAATATATGAAATTATATTTGAAATTTATTATTCATTAATGTTCTCCTATGATATTTAAATTTTATATATTTTAGTGGTGATGATTCACTCTTGGTCTAATGAAATGAAATAAATATTAATAAACATTTAATAAACATTTTTTCATTACACTTAAAGTTTTCATTAAGTTTGCTAGCAATGGTTGCTATGGTGATTACCTATTTTAACACCATTATGTACAACTTTTATCAACAAAGACCGTGTTATTTAAAAAAAGTAAAGCCAAATTAACAGCAATTATAGTGATTTTTATTCGTTGCTATGGCGATAACAATCCATATTGTATTCACATTAAGATGTTATCTTTCATTTATGTTATCTTACAATATTAATATTTACTAAAGATCTCTCACAAAAACTTTAATTATATCAATAAGTTTCCGGTTTTCACTTTAATAATTTACAAAAAAAAAATAGGATATTTTAATTAGCAACAGTTGCTATGGAGATGACCTTGCTTTCATACTTAATTGTGTTATCTTAGAATATTTAAGAAACATTTTTTCATAAATCCTATACTAATTTATTACTAAACTTTAGGTCTTCATTATATACTCATTTTATGAAAAAATAGGAAATTTTAATTTGCATAGCAACAGTTGCTATGGTGATGACCTTGTATTTTATACATCAATGTGTTAATTTTGTTCAATAAGTGATGTTTATATAAATATATTGATTTTTGCTTGGTCAATGACAAATGTGCATCAAATCTGCGCTGATTTTGCTTCGTTGCTATGGACGATAAAGAGTGTTGCTATGCAAATATATCTAAGTTTCAGCATTTCTTTTTACATAATCCCATATGATGAAAGTAGATAATTCAGATGTTAAACATAAAACCTATGAAAATAAAGATTTTAATAAACTTTGAGCTTCCTGTGTACTTAAATTTCATGAATAAAATAGGAAATTTAAATTTGCATAGCAACGGTTGCTATGGTG